GGGTTTTAAGTTTAGAACTTAACTGGAAGCATTCTCTAAGGGTAAATGCTTTAGCACAGGCAATAATAGCATGATGTAGAGCTAAACCAGCACACTTCCTCCATTAAGAAGGGAAGTGCAACAGTTGCCCAAATGCCACTGTCACATAGTCTCTCCCGAGGTCCATGAGGTCCATTTTTTGCGGGGAGCCAGGCAGGTCACACAAGTCAAGGAATTCAAAGAGAAATCACAGGCAGAGGACTAGAGTCACATGGGTGAGCGTGACGAATCCCAATCACTTAGTTCCTCTGGTTCCATGGCTGGGGGTCACACCTGCAACCACGAGCAGCACAGGCAGTAAGGTGCTGGGACACAGGAACTACAGGGGAAAAAAAATAGCAGGAGGGATGCCTTCACTGGCTTCCTCTCCACATGGATCACACCAAAAGGAAAGAGACTAAAGGACACATTTTACTCGCATCTATTTCTAGATGGGTAACAGATCATCTTCAGCTTGTACTACTCTGGAGTGTGTTCTGAAACACAGGGACTCCTTTGATCCTAAAAATTTAAAGAAAAAGCAGCTAACTTTCTTTTGCACAAGGGTATAGCTTCTTACTAGACATTTGCAGGCATCACAAAATCAACCCAGCCCTTTCAGTAGTCATATCAGGCAAGCCTAGGGAGAATGATTCTCTGAAGTTAGAGAAACAACCTCCAGGGGAACAATCTGAGGAATCCCCTCATTTAGGGCTTCCTCATTACAGGACCTTAGGCAAATAAACAGAGACTTTGGCTGATTTTCTAATGACCTTGATAAATATACAGAAGCCTTTCCGAAATTTAACTCAAGTGTTTGACCTCTCATGAAGGGATGTTATGCTGCTTCTAAGCCAAACCCTAACTACAGCTGAGAAACAGGCAGTTCTGCAGACAACAGAGAATTTCGGAGATGAGCAATATTTCTCCTATAATAGGCCAAAAGGGAAGAGAAAATAGGGAAGGTGAAGAAATAGGGGAAACACCATTCCCAATAGGAAGGGAAGCAAGACCTCTTGACAACCCTAATTGAAGCCCCCAGACTTTTCTATGGTGTTTTTCCTTCTTTCATGGTTTAAAATGATTCTTTTATAATGTTCATCCAAACTGGAAAAGTTAATTTCCCCAAACTTTAAAATTTGTGGCTTAGAGTTGAGCTAGAGGGAAAAAAATCCAGAAGCCTCACATGCTGGCAAAAGGCTAAAACATTTTTTTTTTAACCAATCAGGTTTTTGGCTTCTCTCTCCCTGTGCAAATCAGTAAAAGAAATAATAAGGATCACTGTTTATATTCTCTGTACATTTTAATTAATTAAAAAGGATTTGTGAGGTTAGTCTTAAACTGTAGCCAATCTGGTGTGCTTTACATGTCTTTCTGTATGGATCTATCAAAAGAAAGGGTACCTCAGGCTAGGATGCCTGAGGTAGGACCCAGGACCCCACTGGCCTGCTGTTCACACTAGCCCAACAAAATGGTCAGTAACAAACTTGGCTACAAGTCTCAGTCTTGTTTCATGTCCTTGGGAACATGACCTCAAACACATGGCAATACTTTTAGTCTCCACCATTTTACAATGATGGCTGTCATCTTGTGCTAAGTCAGTTCCTAGGTGGGGGCCACAAAATCAGATAAGCCAGTTTATTGATCTGGGCGGTGCAAGCTAATCCATTAAGGGTAGGGTTTACAAAATATCTTAAGCACTGATCTTGAGAGGTTAAGAAAGGATCAAAATCTTGTAGGCTCCACCTGCATGACTCCTAAGCCACGGTTTCTAATCTTGTGGCTAGTTTACTGGTCTGGTCCCCAGGAAAGAGGAAAGTATATCTTAAAAAGGGGCTGTTATCATCTTTGTTTCGGACTATGAACTGTAAACTAGGCTCCTCCCAAAGTTGGTTCAGCCTACACCCAGGAATGGGCAAGGACAGCTTGGGTGCTGGAAACAAAACGGACTTGGTTGGGTCAGGTCTCTTTCAATATCTCAGTCACAATTTTGCAATGACAGTTTCAAAAGCTGCTTATCACCCCTTTGAAAATACCTCATATATTTGCAGTTAAATCATAAAATAACTAAGGCTTGTTGGTTTCACCTATGTTACTTTCTGTGAAATTAAAGCTGAAAATCTTACCTGCTTGGTATGGCTAAAGTGGAGTAACAAGAGGGTTAAAGAGATTTTCTTAAGGAGCACCCAGCTTCATTAAAAGTGAATATCTAAGTTACAAGTATATTTAAACGGCCTTTATGTTTGTCTCTTCTTGGATCTTGTTTTTCTGGAAAAAGTTTTTTTTTTTCTTTTCAGTTAACAGAAATAACTTTCTCCGTTTTTTTGTCTTGCTACTCAATATACACAAAAGAGGCCCCAAGATAACTTCTGGTAGCTGGGACTCCTTAGAAAAAACAGAGGAGGCACCACAGAATGAAACCCCAGGAATTAAAAGCAGATAGTTCCCTCTCAAAATCAAAGGCAAAGGCTCTGTTCTGTTTTGCATTTTGTTATCTGACAGTTTTGAGTTTTCAGGTATCAAACTTCTTCACATCATGAGAGAGCTTTGGTGTGTGATAATGAGGTAGGAAATATACTTTAAAGATGGCTAATAGTAGTTCTAGAGAAATACTTAACTGTGCAAATCTGAATTAGAGAAGCATGCTCTTGGCCACCTGAAAGATACAGAAACATCTCCACCCACCACTGAGAGATGAGACTCCCATGGGGGATGGGCTGATTACAAAATAAGCTGATTAGCTTTGG